CCTTCTTTCTTTCCTTCTTTCTTTCTTTCTTTCTTTCTTTTCTTTTCTTTTCATTTTTTTTTTCTCATGTAAGGGATCTGCTCACAGAGAGGACACCGTGCTGTGTCCCTCATTATAATGGTCCTAGATTCCTCTTGGGTATGTGGTAAACAGAGAAGCCATTCTCCAGGCCCCCTGCTCTGAGCACACCCCTTATGTTTCTTTTTTATTATTGTTGTTTCATTTTGTGTTTAGTCTTTGACCTGTATGCAATATATCTCGATTATATCCACCTCCCAATTCTCTCCCCAACCACAAACATGTCTCCCTTCCAACCTCGTGTCTTATTTAAAATTATTTTTTTTCCCTAATTTGAGTACAGGCCTATAAGACTAGACTTGGGAGGCTGAGGTAGAAGCATATTGAGCTGGGCTTCATAGAGAGACCCTGTCTCAAAAAAAAACTAATGAACAAATGGTGGGGGCAATCTAGAGAATGCATCTTTTTGCTTATTTGTTTGTTTGTTTTGAGACAGGGTTTCTCTGTAAAATAGCCCTGACCAGGCTGGTCTCACACTCAGAGATCCACCTGCCTCTGTCTCACAAGTGCTGGGATTAAAGGAATGTGCCACCATCACCAGGCCGGGAATACATTCTTAAAAATCTATGTTTCAGTGCCAGGATAGGCTCCAAAGCTACACCGAGAAACCCTGTCTCGAAAAACAAAAAGCAAACAAACAAATCTATCAGTTTCAGGGGTTGGAGAGATGGCTCATTGGTTAAGAGCATTGACTACTCTTGCAGAGGACACCTGGGTTCAATTCTCAGATCTCACTCACATGGGACTGACAACCATCTGTAACTCCAGTTCTAGAAGATCTAACATCCCCCTCTGGCCTTCATGAGGACTACACACAAATGGTACACAAATATACCCACAAACAAAACATTTTTACTTATAAATAGAAATAAATAAAATCTCAAAAAAACTATCAGTTTCATTACATTAACAATAAATGCAAATTTGTGTGTTGAGCTAAATATTATGTAATTATGAACATAATTGTGTAGGGGGTAAAAGTGAGGAAAAGATTGGAGAAAGGTCATATGGAAGACAGAAATTCCAGAAGTCTGAAAAAGGTAGCTATTGTAGAGCTAAGGAAGAGGTAGAAGCAGAAGTAATTCTCAGGTCAGCCATCTGGCCTTGGGGATGTACAGGGAAATAGGGAGTAGGGCTTTTTGTTGTTGTTTTGTTTTGTTTTGTTTTCGAGACAGGGTTTCTCTGTGGTTTTGGACGCTGTCTTGGAACTAGCTCTTGTAGACCAGGCTGGTCTCGAACACAAAGATCTGCCTGCCTCTGCCTGTCGAGTGCTGGCAGAGCATTGTTATTCAAACCACCACCGCCCATCGGAAATAAGGAGTGGTATCTTGAGTTTAGCTGGGTGCCTGTGGTGGTTTGAATAACAATGGCCCCATAAACTCAGTAGATGTGGCACTCTTTGTAGGTGTTGCCTCATTGGAGGAAGTGTGTCGTAGGGGGTGGGCTTTCAAATTGTAGATCAAACCAGGTCCAGTGACTCACTCTTTTCCTACTGCCTACCAATCCAAATGTAGAACTCTCTACTCCTTCTCTATCTAGCGCCAGTTCTTCCTGCATGCTGCCATGCTCCCCACCATGATGATAATGGACTAAACTTCTGAACTGTAAGCCAGCCCCAATTAGAGTTTCTGTAATCACAGTGTGTCTTCACAACAATAGGGATCCTAAGACAGTACCATAATGGATTGTGATACAATTAAGACAGAAATCAGGACTGCAGAAGAGCCATGCAAAGGAGAAAGAACCAGATAGTTTATGGGAAGTGTCTCTTCATGTATGTTGAAAGTGGAAAAGTTCACAGTGAAAAGTAAATCTAGTGAATTTGACCAGGGAGCTGAGGTGAACAAAACTCCAAAGAAAATCTAACTCCTAAAAAAATAAGCATAAACAAGGGAGGAACATAGTGACAGAACAGGTGAGACATAAAGGGATCTCATTACATTTCAGACTCATAATTGACTCGTATGTCTGACAAAAATCACAACTTAGAGACAGATCAAAGCTATTTCCTCTCTAGCAGTTGAGTATGTATTTGCTGGAAGATGGGCATAATTAGGAATGTCCAGCTGCGCATCTGAAATAATTAGGGATTCAAAGGCCTGCTTTCCAGAAACTTCTCTAGCTGAAGAAATAACCATAGCACTAAAGGAGCTGACATGCCATTTATTAAAACAACAGCCAACTAAATGCATCTCCTTGTCTCAAGGTTACCTTATAAATCAACTTAGAGGGGCAAAAACCTTGTAGGGGATCTGTAGGAGGATGAACAGACTATTTAAACTATATATAAAAAAATCCTAAAGTGCATATCTTACTTACAGAAAGAATGAGATTTAAAAGGGTGATAATTAACAGAAATTAACACAGCTGGCACCAGCAAATTCCAATTGCAAAGATCATATAAATTGATTTATAGTGTTCCCGTGTGACTAATGAAAGTAGATTGGTGGCCATATTGTTCCAAATGATTGCATTAGAGAACATTATCACTTCCAAGAAGCACACATTAATAATAAAATCCTTATCACCGAAGAATAAACAAGATAATACTGGATCAACATTTGAGATTTGGCACTCATATCTTATTAAATATCCTTCACATATTAAATATGTGTTTCAAAAGAAAACGATAAAAAGTACCGGTTCTCTTCATTTTATCAGTCCCTTGGAAGAAGGAGAGGGTTCGGGAGCTTCCTGATGTCAGCACTTAGAAAGGTTAATTATTCATCCAGAACAATGAAGAAGCAGCCCTAGGTTTAATTGGATGCATGCTTCTCACTTTTAAAGATAGGGGAGTGGATAATGATGTCCCTTTTGTGTCCTTCTGAAAGAAATATGGGGAACCGATAATGTCTCACGTAAGTCTTAAAGGATGAAAATGCAGAGCCCGGCACTTTTTCGAATCACTCATTAGCAAACAAGCTCAGAGGAGATGCGGTCTCAACCAGCATGCTCTGCTCCACTCACCACAGTTACAGATGATCACATTTAAGTATCTCACAAACTGGTCAATTGGATACCCTAACCTCCAAAGATTAAGGGGAAAAGTTATACATGGAAAGTTCTAACTGGATACAGGAAACCCTGGATCAGGAAAAGAGCTCAAAGAGTTTTTTTAAAGGGAAAGGGGATGTGTAAACGAGCATTCTTTCAATGAATTATGACCCAGGTTTGTACAGAAATAGTGAGAGTAATTCTTCCCCCAGAGCAAAGGAACTACATCACTACTCCATGAAATAGAGTTGAGGATATGACTCACCCTGTAAAGTGTGTGGCATACGATGTTAGCACTAAGTTCAGATGGGTATGGTGGCCGACCTATAATTCTAGCATTCTGAAGGTGGAGACTCAGACTATGAGAGAAGGAAGACAACAGAATCTGTTTATCAGTGTATTTTCAAGGCTTCTTGTAGTGTCTATCATATAGAAGATAGAGCTGGCTATATATTGAATTAGCCAACAGTTATGTTAGAAAATTCAGTTCTAAGAGAGAGGTAAACAAGAAGATATTCTTAAAATAAAAAAAACAATTTTCCTCGGTTTTTCATGTTTTTTTTTATTAAAGTGTCAGATACAGAAAAATACGTAAACTGTAAATACGCTTATACCTCCTAACCCTCCACCATACCTCTCCTTCCATCTCACAAAAGAAGCTATTCTTCTGACCCGGCACACCATAATTGGCATATGAGAAGTATATCAATTTGAGCTATTGTGAATTCAACTGTAATAAATATCCTTGTCATGTCTGCTAACAAGCAAATGTGCATATTTTTCACCTCTAATTACAATTGCTCACTGTCTGGATATGAATATGACCTGTCTTAGAATATATGGGCCAATAGCTTTTTCTTTTCTTTTCTTTTGATTTTTCAAGACAGGGTTTCTCTGTGTATAGCCCTGGCTGTCCTGGAACTCAATCTGTGGACCAGACTAGCCTCAAACTCAGAGATTTGACTGCCTCTGTAACCCCTGCTTCGATTAAAGGCATATGCCACCATTGACCAATGCTTTTCAAAGTGAGAAAAAATTTTCTAAAGAATTGCCTCTCTCTCGTCTCTTCCCTTTTTGGATTTTTGAGAGTCTCATAAAAGCCCAGGATAGTCTTGAAGTCACCATGTGCCTGAGGATGGCCTTGAACTTCTGATCCTTCTGTCTTTCCCTCCCAAGGGCTGGGATGGTAGGCTTGTACCACAGGCCTTGACAAACAGAAATTCTAAATGCCTTGTACTGATTATTAATCAAAATTTACTCCATGTTTAACAGGCACCAGGGACTGTATTGGGTACTGAAAATAGTAAGGGAAATATTTTCCCCACCAGTACGAAGTTTCAAGAGATTTTAAAGTTGATAAGTCTGATGGTACAACTTGTAATCCCAGCATATGGGAGATGAGGGGAGGAGGATCAGGGGCTCCCATCATCCTTGATTACATAGCAAGTCTGAGGCCAGCCCAGGCTGCAAGCACATCTGCCTCAAAAGCATCAGTAACAACAAAAGTTAACCTAGGCACAGTTGGCTAATATAAAAATCTGTGCTACAGAATGGGACATAGGACACAACCCATCAATGCACTAATAACTTCTTAAAATGACATTATACAAAGATTTTATGTGAAAGGAAAGCTGTAGAAATGGAAGTGATACTGGTGAATTCTGTCGGCAATTGATAGGAAGTGAAATTCTGCTGCACGTTTACTAAAAATGTCCTTTATCCTCTAGCCTGCTCCCCACCCATGTCTTTTCTTTCAAGAAATCAGTCACTTGGGTCAACATCCTTGATACTATCCTTAATTACTTCTTTTTCTTTCATATTCCACATCGATCACTGAAAAAACAAAGAGACTGCCTCTTTTCACCATGGCTGTAGCCAGCCTAAGATATCATGTCTATCACAGTAACTGTTTTGCTTGCTTCCAACCTGGTGTCTTACAATCATTTCCCCACAAAGGAGTCTGTGTGCTTAAAGTGTAAATCATGTCCCTCCCAGCCTGCATAACTTTTGGTGGGAGAAAAACCCAAGGTTCTTCATGTGCAGTAGCAGAATCTACATGACATGGTGATGATCCCCACTGGTTCCTCCTTCACCCTACTACTCACCATCTTGAACTTCCC